AATTGGACTTACATTGCGTCGATTGATACTCCTTTCAAAGCATCTTCATGCAAAGATTGTATCTGGTTATTGGAAAGATCCCTTGGGCAGACATACACAACAATACCAACATTAAAACACACATACTATATTGTGCTAGTGATGGCAGTAACACGCCACTAAACCTTTTCAACTAACAATCTCATATTCAAGTGTGCTCGATAAAATTTTAATTTCGTCCATAGTACATTATGCAACTTTTTCTCTAGCGTCCCATTCTCAGTTCAAATGGTTAGAAAAAGGACGTTTCTTTAGACATATTACAACAAACACAGCAATTGCAAAGGAATGCCAAAAAAGCTAAACATCTGGGGTAAATTTTCCCTTTCATTGAGGCCTACACTTAAAAATAAGCCTGACTCGTGACAGTTTCTTGTTTCTTTTTTGTTTGTTGCAATACATTTTTTTCTTTTGCTTCTTTGCTAAATAATATACACATAGAGGGGTATAAAATCAGAGATAAACAAATACATTAAATCTCTCATTTGCTTAACACCATATCATATTCAGCGATTGAAAGTTTGACAAAATTATATTTACAGCGTGTCTACAGATGATCCGGAATCGCCGAACAACTTTCCTGTTACAGCTTCGATCAGATTGTCCTGAAGTTCTCTGGGATAGGAAGTGGAAAAAAACGAAACAAAACAAAACAAAGCAAAACAGGTAAAAAAATGTGTCGAGTTTAAAGGCCCTAGTGTGACCACCCATTCTTTATAACTCTATAATTCTTTAAAGTATGATTTTTTAAGCTCAAAAGCTGGAAATCCTCACAACCTAGCAATACGAACCAGTGTCACGCATCCAAATATCCATCCAATTCATTAGAAGATAATCTCCTTCTCCCCAAAGGCAAAACCCTAGAGTCTCTAATTAGTATTATTATTACTATCGTTACCATTATTATTATTATTATTATTATTATTATTATTATTATTATTATTATCATTACCAATGTTTTTATTATTATGACTATTATTATCATTGTTTTTTTGGGGGGGATGGGGTGGAGAAGTTACGTTGCATTCAAAATGACACGCTTCAAAGCCGACTAGCCCAGCTGCATATAAGATTAGTGATAATGATGATGATAATGGAAAGTAAGGATATGGAGTTCAATTTCCCAATTTTAAATATTCGCTGATCGTCTGTTTCATGGAAAACAGGTGTAGCTAGTAGTAACAGTGGTTAGTGGTCTGAATATTTATGTTCTTGTACCGGCCGGAATAGGCTTCGAAATAGCAATGGCAAAATCATACTAGTGAGAGTAGTTTGTATGCACTTACAGTGCTCCATTGGTCACTGTGAGAGATTCAAAGGGGTTTTCCTTAAAAGCAGTGATCTTACTGTCATACATCTCTCTGGAGAGGAGAAACACAAGATTAGGTCTATCAGGAGACAACATCTCTAATTGTAAAAAGGACTCAAGCAAACCGTGCCCTGTTCCCACCCATAAAAAGAGTACAACACTTGGTAACAGGAGCAAATATTCACCGTTGGTTTGTAAAATGTTTTGTGCATCTTATGCGAAATCTGTCGCTTGTACCACGAAATATGACGCCTGTCCTACTCTGTCTAGACAATGTAAGAACAATATTCTACTTACAAATCCCAAGCTATTGTCACTTTATAAAACGCCTCGGTGGATATTGTCGTGAGCTCGGCGCCATACAGCTCGCTAAATGTATTAATACATTTAAATAATGAATATAAATAAACGCGAAATTAACTTCTTATGTAGTCTTCAGGATATTTTAGTCAGATAAACATTAGTGAACATTTTGAATTCAGAGTAGCAGCTGATCCCATGGTGCGATCCTCCCGATGAAAATAGCCCCAAGTACGACTGTGAGAGTGACTGGCCTTTCCAAAGCCTGAACGGAAGTCCTAATAGCGGCACAGTATAAAAAAGGGGCCCTTGCGGTGCACGTACGCGGAAACTGCATCATCTTGAAGTTAGCACATCCATTATCGGTCCGATACCTATTGCAGGTCACTTTGATAACAGACATAAAGGGCTTTTTGCTTTTTTTCAATTTTACCCCCATTGCATCTCAAAACGACAGTAAAAGCTATAGATGGGAATCTTTTCTTAAAAGGAAATATCAAATTGCAGAAAAAGTAGTATCCGGTGTTAAGGAGCACGTCCAAAGCATGTTTAATCCCAAAGAGATTTCAACAATTTTTTCATTAAAGAACCAACGAGTTACTTTAGTATCTCTTGATTTAGACCACCCATATACACACTACGTGCCCTTTAGGCTCGATTGAAAAAGCATTATCACGTATGCATCTATGGTCGTACTAAATTTGTAAGTAAACATGTCAGAATATCTTAGCAGATGGACTTACATGTAGCACATCGCCACATTATCAAAAGCACGGGAACCAATTATTTTCAACACATTCCCTGTGAAACGCCTGAAAGGAAGAAAAAAGGTTCTCAGTACTGCTTTTTCACGTACTTTGAGGTTAACTTCAAAAGGAATGACACTGGCAGAACATTCCGTATTGATAACTTCCTCGTCACTCCTTCAATCAATCAAGTTATCTGATGTACTCTGTAAAATTGGAACCGAAGAGTTTTCAGTTGGGTCAAACTTGACGTACTATCAAAACTCTCTTCAAAAGAGAGGTTGTGTCAATTGTGAACAATATAGCCTAAATAGCAGAGTGAAACTGTTTGAAATGATTACAAGGCTTCTACTTTGATAATCAATTTAAGATAAGACATTAGTACATACAACGTGCAACCAGGTCCTTGCACATTTTGGAAAGCTCCAGATTCGATGGAAGAAATTCTGTTACCTTCAAAATTCCTATAAGAAAAAGGCAACATAAAACTAAACTTGGTGCATTATATGGCCATGGCGAAAAACAAAAATATCTGTCCAAAAAATAATGAAGCACCATACGCGAGAACAAAAAGGTGACCAACCATTTGCTATGCGTTTGGTTTTTTAGCACAATTTTTGAAAGCCGGTTGAAATTCGGCGACGATATGTCAATCTGGAATTTCCCACAAAACACAACCGAACTGTGTGAGTTCTTTTAACATTCCCAAATGACTACAGTTGTTTGAATACTGTACAATGAGCTAATGGTTTATGTCCCATATCTAACAAGCAAAGAATGATTGACCATTTTCAGACGTTATTACAAATGCGGCACATTCTTCTTGGTCACATAAAGGCCCTGAATGGTGATTCACTGTAAGGCTCGAGGTTGGAGACCTACTTGATAAGTAGGGCAAACCAGGAAGTCCTCAGATGAATTTGAAGGGAAAATTCATAAATGAAACTCCCTCCATATTTCTCCCCATCATTCTCACTGAATTGTTCTCGAACATTACTTACCAAACCGTATTCCGTGAGGTCTCACTACACCCTCCAGAACATGTGGTCCCAACAAAGGTACCATTTCTAATAGAAGTGATTCTATTGTTTCTGATGTCTCTAAAAAGAGATAGATTAAGTTTTTGTTGCCATGCAGTTGATGATTTAAGCTCAGAATTAACAACTGATTGAGAATTTTCGCCGTTCAGGTGGAAGAAGTCTCGAAATGAATTGATGACGGTGGCATTGACAGCTGTCCAGAGTCACTTGTCTCCAATGATTGACTCCGCACAGGAAACAAAAAAAATCGAACGCTGTCACCAATAATATACCTTTTCAGGACTTCTCTCATCCTGACGATCAGTCAAACATTTAATAATCGTTGCCTTCTCTTGTTGTAATCTTTTCAAGACAAAAAATGTAGAGAACACAAGAAAAACAGAGAATGGGTATAACCCAGACAAGAGAAAAATGATCTTGAGAGTTCCATTGAAGAACATTAAACAGGTGTTCGAAATAAGTCGGGAAAATAATACTAGGTACTCCTTACAAGCAGTACACTTTCTGTGACTTACATTCTGTTAATCTGTTTACCGTGAAAATCTCCACCAACAGGAAGTGTGGTTAACTGATTACTTTGAAGGTATCTGAAAACCAAAGAGCAATTTAAGCACTTTATATAGGGCTTTTACGGATAAACAATGTACTGAAAGTAAACCAATGACTGTTGTTGGACTGCTTGCAAGTGATTCCTCTGTCTCTAGCGTGCTCTTTTGCTGAGGTCAGTTGTTTCTTTGTTTTAATTCAATTATTTGACTTTCGAAGTAACTAGGCATTCAACTTGAGATGATGCACATTTTTGGTTCATTTCGGTAACATTTTGTGTCAGATACGGTACAAAAAAAACGATTGGCAATAACCATGTGTCGTTACTAAATCTTGGATAACATAGTGCATATCGAGCAAATCAGCCAATCACCTATTAATATTAGAGCAGAAAAAAAAAAAAGAGTGCGCTGCTTACAAAAAGTTGAATGACGGCATCACGGTTAGAGTTCCGTCCTCAATAAAGGCAATATCATTGTTTGACAGATATCTGAAAGTACAAAAAGCAACAATTTATTCAAAAGAACCAACGACCCTAACAATTGTCTCTAAGAAATGGAGCGAGGGGTCAATCTGCAAAGATAATCAAATAACTGCAAACTGTTAGTAAATTTTTCTTTTTCAATGAGTTGATAATGTAATTTTCCCACGAACAAGAATTTCTATAGTTGACGTTTCGGGCGTTTGCCCTTCGTCCATGTGATTTGTCGTGATTGCTTTAGAAACGATAAACTCTTGAAAAAAGGGTACGCGATTGCGTACTTGTTATAGTCCATGATCGAACTCTTCGTAACGCGGGCGAACTGGTAAGGCCGGACTTATAAGAGGGCAAAAGTTCCATCAACCATAGAATATCAATTGAAGGGTTGATAAGTACGACATAACTGTTGCTAACGACCCACAGTTTGCTGATCGAAATAGCAATGGCAATAATAGTAGTAATTACCACTCGAATAGATAACAACAATCGCAACCGCTATCAAGACAATCATACACTCCGTTTTAATTCAATTTACTTACAGGCTAGTCAATGCAGTTAAATCCTTTAACATGACTTTCAGAATCCTGCCAATCTGGTTGTTTCGCAAGTCCCTACAGAACATATACAGAAAATTAGCTGTCTTGAAGTTGCACTGTGAATCAGTGAAAAGAAAAACTTGTGCACGAAAGAGAATCCAAGCGCAACCAATTTGATGTCAAGCTTACAAAGTTCTTAACGCTGTCAGTCCATGGAAAGCAGTATTTGGTATGAAGGTGATGAGGTTATCCGACAGAGTCCTTTTGAATACAAAAACAATTATCAGAATTAATAAAAATAAACAATAGTGTACAACTGATACATTCGCTTTGTAAGAAAAACATACCAATAAAGTTATTAAAGCACATCAGTGATAACGAGCCACATACATCCCTGTCTACCTACATAAACCATACAGGCCTAAAAAATTTGGCATAAAAAAGTTTTACAGACCCACATAATCAAAGCACATCAGTGATAGCGAGCCACATACATCCCTGTCTATCTACATAAACCATACAGACCTAAAACATTTGGCATAAAACAGTTTTGCAGACCCACATAATCAAAGCACATCAGTGATTGCGAGCCACATACATCCCTGTCTATCTACATAAACCATACAGACCTAAAAAATTTGGCTTAAAACTTAGTCCTACGGACCCACATGATCATAGACGTACAACAGGAATTGTTAGTAATGTACAGCACTTTGGAAAAATGTAGAATGAAGACCTGGTAAACCCTGATAATTACGTGGGAGCTCTTGATAATGACTATTGATCAACAATAGTTAAGTGAAGAAGTATTTATGGAACGAACGAAAGAACGAACAAACGAATCTAACTACATTGTATAGGACTTGAAACTGTGTTTACTTACAGAGAAGTAAGTGATAGATTGGAAAACTGGTTCTCGTGTTTGAAGTTGAATTTGTTGTTCTCCATGTTACTGTAGGAATAAAAATATGACAGCCAAACAATGAGGGCGCCATGAAATATGAACAGTAGCGATACTAAGCAAAGAAAAGTACAAAGAATAACATCTTCATCACATTTTTTCCAGGAATTGTATCTGCCTGCTGAAGCTTTCGTGACGAGGTTATGAGAACCGTGATAGTTCCAGGCACATACTGTGCACTACCCAAGGGTAAAAAGCACATGCGCCACTATGTAGTTAGTGAAACGTTAAGCAACCATCGAGCCCTTATTGTTTGAGATCAATTGTCAATAACTATGAACTTTCTTTACGCCCTGGTTGCTCAAAAGCATCAGCCATTGTCAATAAGAGTATCGAAAATAAAAAAAATGTGGCTGGCTTATCGACTTTACGTTCCTTTAACTGCTTCTTTGTGCAAAATGAGACATTTCTGAAATGGCTGCCATTTAGATTCGCAAAACGTACAGACGTCACCAAGTCAAATTTCATGAATTAAAAAATCGGTTCATACTCACGTATAATACATACTTACATCGTTGTTATACCAGAAGGAAAGGCACCATTCTCCACCGCAACAATGTCATTCCTATCAAGATAACTGCCGGAGAGACCAAACAACAACATTAACCGTTTACACTTTACTGGGGTACACGTTTCGTTTGGCTCTGTTAAGTGATTTTCATTTGATTTTTTTCCTTCTAACTTATTTTGTTCTTTCAGAAGGAAGGAAGGTTCGATTCTTTTTCGTTGCTGCCGATTTGGTTAATTTGGTTTTCTTATCTTTGGTTCAGATTAAAAATCACATTTTGATCAGGTCTGATAAAGATCAACACATTTTGGGGGTGCTTCTTGTGGTTCATTTGTGAAATAACTACCTGAGTAAATCAGTGAAGCGTTTTACACAGGCGAGTCGAACAACTTAAAAGATTCATTGACAGTCTTTCCAGTTAACTCAAATAAGGCATACAGCACATCTGAAGATTTCGGTCACATGAGGAAAATTGGGGAGCGATTTTTATCAAGTTTGACTTGTTTTTTATGAGATTTCATTTGATTGATTAAATGTTACCTGCCGCTCACCCAGTTTGAGCTTAAGGACCATAACTACAGAGGATGAACATGATTTTGTCCTGTTACACTGTTATTATATCTCAACTGTTAATATTACTATTATTATTATTATTATTCGTGTACATGAAGCACGGGAAATAAATGAGATAAATCTCTTGTGAGTATATTAAGTTACTGCAACAAAAGGAATGGTCCCTATTCCTTTCACAATATATTTAAGGAGTGTATCAGGGATTAGTAAATATGTTAGACTTACAGGGAACGCAACGTATCAAGATCTGTGAAAGTTCCTTTCAGGATGTACGTCAGAGAGTTGAAGTACAAACTTCTAACGGAGTAAAAATAGATGAATAAGTAGTTTATCACCTGGACTAAAAAGCTTCACCTATGTAAGTTTTAAAAACCAATATGCAAGAATACCATGAATGGGTTTCTTGTAACATAATAGTGTAACTGTATGTCACACTTGTCATGTGGGAGAAAAGAATGACGCACTGTATGACATAAACAAAGAAATTATCTTCGCAGGTGGACAACTGCAGAAGAGAATAAATTTTTTTTTTTAATTGTTGATGTCTTTTTTCATTCGTATTTGCTTTTTTTTATTCCTTTCTTATTATGTTTTTACCAGCTATTATTTTCGCTTTTGTGCGCGCTGTTTCTTTTAAACACTGACTCTTTTTACCAAGGGCCCGTTATGATTGAAACTTAAAGGAAAAAATAATGAAAAATAAATCTTGATTGATACAGGTAAAAGTCACAAATGCCTTCCAGCATTTTGCGGTGGGGTGTTTCCAAAGCAAAAGTCATCACAGCAGCCAATTAGAGCGTTTGAGGCAACTTCGCAAAGGGCCCTTGAGAACTACTATGCACATTTAATAAAAAAGTGATTGATTGCTTCTAGTTACAGATCTATTTGGCTGGCAGAATCACACGGCTTTTCTAGACCACCTATATATGTGGAAAGACAAAACCAATGCACTTTCGAGTTGCTTTCGAAACTAAATTGAAAATTACTCATTCAATCAATTAGGCTACGTACAATTCATTGATGACTGGAAGATGACTCTTCCCTTGAACAGCAGTTGGAACATAATGGAAGCTGTTTCTGTCTAAATCCCTGGAATGATGACAGAGGAAATATGAGCTTTGAGATGGCCATTACCGTTTTCCACCACAATGATTATAATCTTTTAACCAATCAAAGAAATTAACTCCATTTTGCCATATTTTTACGTCCTCAAAACAGCTTTCGACTTCAAAACTCAAATGTTTTAATCATCAGTTAACATTTTTTTTATTCCAGAAAAGTTCCTAATCTGGGAACATTCATATCAGAATCTAAAGAGAATTTCTTGGAAGTTAGGAATGAACACGTCTTTGCTTCATCACGTCGTAAGTTATTCATCCTAAATGCTGAAATTGATTTCAAAGGCAACCTTGACTGCAAATTTGTCCCATTTTCAGTTTCATACAAATAATTTCTTTGGTTGTAACTACTATCAACTTCCTGAATCAGGAGTAAAATCTCACATGCGGTAGAATGAAGTTGCAAAACACCCACAAAAAACCATGATTTACAACAACAGAATGGTTTCTTACAGTCTTGTTAAACTGGTTAGATTCCTGAATGCTTCAGCATGTACTGTAGAATTAGAAAGCCGATTTCTTGACAGGTAGCTGTAAACAGACATAAAAAATTCACCAAAGTAGATTTCGTCTCTGTACAAAGAAACTAAAGGTTTTTCTACAGAATACCAAACTGTACGGCAAATTTATACAATTCCCAACAACAATTCCCATCTACTTACAGCTGCTGAACATTACTGAGGTACCAAAGATCTTCCTCTTCAATGCTGGATATTTCATTCCCGTGAACATATCTAAAATTTCAAAAAGAGTTAAAAGTTTAATTGAATTTCAAATTAAGATTTCAGATGCAAAATGTACAGTAACACACCCAAACTGCCTCATTCGAGAACCTCATCACGCCCTCTGAAAAAAAGTGGTAAAGGCCTTCAAAATAGAAGTGGATTTTCAATTCACAAGCAATCGCCTCTATTTATTCATCAAATTTTTGTTAAAAGTTAAAATGGCTCGGCCAACAGGTTGCGAACAAAAGAACATAATAATCTTTACTGTCGGAAAATGTTTATGTTTAAGCTATCAAACTTCCCAGCTCTGGGGAGAGAACAAAATGCATGTTTTACAGGGCTTCAAGCATATATGAAGCGTTGTGTAAAAATTGAATTCTACCTAGATTATATCATATTATTATCAATAAAGCTTCATCAAAATATACACTTGGGAATCTTACAATCTCTGCAGAGTCGAAAGTCTTTCAAATGCCTTGTGGACACTCTTCTGACTCCTACAAGAAAAGTGTCAACATATGAGGTGATATGTCTTTATCAAGAGTGGGGTAAAAGCTTGTTAGCCCTTGCTATTTAACAATTTCAGCAAATAATCATGAATATAGAACACACCGAGGGATATTTTTTAACAAATTGTAAGTTTTAAGATAGGAATAAACACCCGCTACTAACAATATCATTTCATGAAAAAAGGAACACTTAATTATACCCAAAATATTCCGGGCCTATTTATTTGTTTAATTTGTTCGGCCATCAAGTAAAACCGCAGAGCAATGAGGCTATGCATCCTTATGGGAGAAGACATGATTTATGATAAGCTACTTTTTGAACGCATTTTAATTGGCTCTTACCAACTTATGAGCTATTGGAGGCAGATGAATAAATGACGTCACCATGAGCAGCGTTATAATTTTTCATCAGATAAAACAAATCGTTTTTATGTTGCCGAGGATTTGTATTGTAATCGATCACAGAAGACGTCAAAATGTGGTAAGAACCTCGGTGACAGACAAAGCTATGTTTTGTGTGCTAATTTTCTTTTCTAATCACATTTTGATGCAATCTGTGATTTATCACTGGAGAGATGTATGTCATCTATTTGTACATAAGCCATGTTATATTTTTAACTACAATACGTACGCATGGAAGTCTTGAAGAAAAGGTGAAAAATCTGTACTGGCAAAACTTGACAATGAGTTGATGTTGTTATTTTCCAGATGCCTTATAACGAATAGAATACCAATGTCAGCTCAAAACTTAAAAAGTAATTTGAATGTGGCCATAAATATCTGTTTGGAACAAGAATGGAGATTGCTAAGGACATGGGCATGAACATGATGTGGACTTGAAAGTTGACATTGTTATAGAAACAAAGTACACCAAGATCATGAATTCACACAGGAATGGAGGAGTGGACAAAGACAACCTTGGACATGTTTGAATAAACACAAAATTCTGGCCAAATTTACAGCTCAAGTTCAGATAGGGTCATTGTGTTGAAATGAAATTTAAAAAAACGAAGCTAGTTCAGATGTGGACTTGATTTTAAAGTAAGGATGGATGTAGATATCCATAAGGATGAGGAAAACTCCTAACCGACAATATTAAAGGAATCTCCTCCAGAATGGAGTTCTCCCTATAAGCCATGACTGTGCAATTTACGGTTATATCCTGCACATAAATCAAGCTATCTCAGGTCAGCTATACCCAAAGGTTTTTTGATTGCAATTCACACGACAACAGTCTCTATGGGCCACATGAAGATGCACAAAGCCATACATGGAAAAACGTTTTCATGTAAAAGCCCCATTTAAGCTCTGGTAAATACAGAAAATAAACATAGATGGGAATTGAAAAAACATACTTACAAGTAAATAAGGGATGGTAATGGTTGTGACGTCTGCGACAAAGCTGGATGGGGAAAGTTGCTCAAGAGGTTGTCGTTCAACCATCTGAAATATTCAAATAATGAGAGGATATTGGTCAAAATGTTACTTCCTTAGTTCCACTCAGTGGGATGTGAGTTTTTCACAGGAAGAGGGTATATTGGTTTTCCATTTTTTTTCGCTCACTTAGTGTAATTTCAAAATAAAAAGGTGACACAAATAGAAAAATATCGAATCAGGTTCATTTATACTACTTTGAAAAAAATAGCTTTTTCTTTGTACATAGTAAACGTTGTATTTTCTGGTTAAAAAATTTATACACATTTTTGTTCTTCATTATTGTGCAAAACACTCTAAAGTTTGTCCAGCAGGTGCTATGTAGTGAACAGTTTCAGTATCTACCATCTAAATGTACAATTTGTAATCTTATTGCAAGTGTGAAGTGGTATTTAAGTTATTATTTTTCCCTTACAAATCTTCCAGAGCGGGGAGGTCCTTGAAGGCATTGAACATAACATGCTCAGTTTGGTAAGAACTTTCCTGCTGCATCAGAATTCTGAAATAAAATGATACACATATACAGAAACCAGTTGTGAATTGAAAGTTGTTTTTAATGATATCTTGGAGAACATTGAAAGAGTTTCCTTCATGGTGCTTAGAGCGTTTAGCAAACAAGAAAATTTAGACTTATTCTCGAAGTGCTGACAGACAAAATGTACGAATTAGCAAATGTGTAATTTTCAGACACGTTCAAACAATACCATCCACAGAGTAAGCCTTTTTTCTCTGAAAATGATGTCATGAAACCAATGTGTCAGTTCTTTTCAGAAGTAGAACACTTGTTTAATTATCTTGCTCAGTAGATTCTATCAAACCTTGACAGAGTGCAATTTCTCCTGTCCTACATATGTCATCCAGATAGCAGATCTATTTAAGTCAAACTATTTACGACTTGTGATCAGTTTCTGCTTCATTTCTGTAACTGTTTCTTTTGTATCTTAATTTCAGTTTAAGTTTACTTACAACACTTTCAGTTTTGGAAGACTCTCAAATGGACTGCTGTAGCCTTCAGCTGTGATAGTTTTCAGTCTGTTCCCCCTGAGATCACTACAAAGAATTACATGCAACAGAAACCATAGACAGCATTATTTCTCTTGTAAGGGTTTTCCTATCACGAGCTAATTTGCAACTTGCAAACAGATCTCACAAATATTTCAGGGATATACCAGAGATGTCCATACTGGTTGAAATAGAACCAAACCTGGTCTATCCACAGTAAGGATCTCCACGGTGATTAAAAATGTAGGTCCCAAAGATTTATTTCCCATATTTTTACATCAGGTTCTGATACAAACCTCACATAAGAGTGCGCTCTAGTGAATTATTGTGCCCAAGAGAAAAAAAATAGTTTTCACGGCTAAATGCAAAAAAGTCATAGATGCACAAGAAAACCAACAAATGGGCTTGCTAAAAACAACTGTGAAGTTGCAAAAATAATTGTTCTTTGCCAAAGGAGTGGAGTATTGAGAAAAATCAGAAGGCTATTAAAAATAATTTTTTAAAAAAAGGGAGTCTTCCAGACGAAAAAGAAAGCTTGTAGTCTCAGCCTCCTTTCAAAATTTTCTGTCCCAGAGAATGAACACTCACAGATGCAGCAACTCTGGTATTTCATAGAAGACCTTAGCGGCAATGATTTCCAGGTGATTCATATGTAACTCACTAAAAGAAAGAAATTGCAACATAATATTATTTATTTCCAAAACAAGGAAAGGCAGTGCATGCATGAGAGACTGAAGACTACAACTATGCATCATACAGTTTTCAGCAAATCTACCCAAGAGCTCAAATTCTCAAGCTTTTGAACATTTCTTTAAAAAATTTTGATTACCAAGTATTCTAATTCACTTCAGTTTCAAAATATAAAACTGTGGATTAAAGTTCATTGCTTTGCATACTACACAGGTGCCAATGTAGATAAGACTGAATGTAATACTCTGGTTTCCACCGATTGGACACCTTTAAAAGACTTTTGAAATACTTCAGTTGTTTTCTTCCCTTTCACCTATTCAAAGATACTTGGTGACAATTTCAAAGTATCTCTCTATCTATGGTATTTAGTGGTTTAAGTCCTGTGTATCTTCCTCATGTTCTATTTAGTGAAACTTTTTGCAGGAAGGCCTCAATCTTCACGTCATCATAGGTGAGCATTTGTTAAAATTGTCTCTGTCCCTGGCATAGAATGCTGCATACCACTTATATTTTAGAGCTTTAGAAGAGGGGGCAATCAAAGCAAACAACTATATACTTACAGAACTTTAAGGTGGATCAAGTTAGAGAATGTCCCAGTTGTTACAGAAGAGATTTGATTGTTGCTCACATTCCTAAAACAAATTTATAGAAACATCAGACAGTGACTTACTATATTTTCAGGTTTCTATTTTAATTCCGTCAAGCATTAATAGTAGTTGATTCCTTTGTCTAATTAGATCAATGATCAATAAAAGTAATCCATAGTTGCATGTTA